TGAATGTTTTTAAGTCTTTCTCATTATTAAGATCCATTTTTCTGTACATTTTTCAGCACGTATCTTGTTCCACAGTTTTTGTTCTGTTTCAACAACTCGTGTCTCAAAACGTTCGGCTCTTTCAGGACATTCCTGCTGTGACTTTTGGTGTTTGTGCAGTTTTTATTCTTTTTAATATTTAGCTTTGTCGGCCATGTTTTCCTAATTGAAAATGAATGTAGTTCTTCACATCCTTCAAGCCCTTTGAGCCGTTTAAACCTTTTCAGCTGTTGTTTTGGTTCTCATTTTTTCCAGCTTCTTTTAGCTAATTCAAGCTTTTTATGCTCCTTTCAGCTTCTCTCTGCTAAATTCAGCTTTTTCATGCATCTTCAGACACTTTTTAGGTATTTTTTTTGCAAAGTTTAGCCTTTATTCTGCTATTTTTTTCATAATAATAATAATAATTTGAACTGTTTATGCTCCTTTCAGCCTCTTTTTGCTGATTTCAGCCTTTTTTCCCAGCTACTTTTTATTTTATTTTATTTTTCCAATTTCAGCTAATTTCATTTTGTTTTTTTGCCAACTGTTTGCTAGCCTCTTCCGCTGTGGGTATAAAAAAAACATAAAATTAAGTTTCATGGTGGTCGAAGCTTCAGAGGACCAAAGATATTGCAGTGGTTTTCGAGATATTTCGCTAACAGACGAACACAGACGTGGCGAGGAACATGAATATCGTTTTGCTTTAAGCAACGGGCGACGTGCATTCATTCAAGTAAGACTAGTTTAAAAATTTTACAATCCTTTGAGTGAAACGTAGAGAAAATAAAAACAGGTTTTTAGCTGTTGGTTTGTGGTTTTAAAGAGAAGCTTACTGGATGTTTTTTTTGGTTGATCTGAGACTGGAGCAGGAAGAAGCTTAGAGCTGATCCTGTGGTGTTTATGTGCGTGTCGTGCATCATATTTACTGTATGTTCCCTGTGTGTGTGTGTGTGTGTGTGTGTCCTCCGTACGTCTTCCCTGGCTTAATGTCCGTATCTAAATTCATGCGCGGCGTGGCGGCGGCGTGGCGATGGCGGTCCAGATCACAGGCGGATTGTGTTGGATTTGACTTGAAGCCTCTTTAATCAGCGTAACGCCATCATTAATATTCATGCAGTCAGCTGGAACACCCGGCTCTCACCGCACCAAACTTCCTGCACAAAATGTATTAAACACAGCTTAAAAAATGAGCGCACTTTTACTTGATATTCCACAAAAATGAAGAGCGGAGGCAGGGGGCACGCACACCCCCTTCTCCTTTGATTGGTTTATGCAGATTGCTTCCCTGATTGGCCTTTGTGTTTTCCCTTTTTTCCTGCAGATTTTTTCGTCTTTGACGAGACTTCAAAGCGAACGCGAGGCATGAATGGTCATTTAGAAGGATTTAAGCACATTATCACATCTGTAATTGTACATGAATAATAAGGAGTGCTGCTGCAATCAATTAGCTCTGGGTCCACAAAAAGATCAGCACCACGGGGGGGAGTGGGGGGGGGGGGGAAGAGGAAAGCAGGAAATTAGAAAAGTTTCAAAGTGAAGAAGAAACTATTCTGCGTTTAAACTGTAATTCAGCTGTTTTTTTTTTCCAGGCAGAGTTGAAGTGAAGTCACTGTGCTGAATAAAAACATTTAAATTTCAAACGAAGGAATGCATATCGCCCGCCACCTTTCTGACCAGAGTCTTGGACAAAGATCGTCTTGTGTTAACAAATGACATGCCTTGAAATAATGCTTTATCTCTCTCAGAGCATGTGAATGACTCTCAACTACCACCACAACAAAACTGAGCTCAATGTCTCTAAATGTGGCAGAGCCTTTGATTTCTTTAGGCTTCTAGCTAGCCTTTTTCTACGTTTAGCTTGCTATTTGCAACATTTAAATAGCTATATGCCATATTTAACTAGACGTTTGTCACTTTTAGCTACTCCTTTGCTACACTAACTTGTCTTTTGCTACTTTTAGCTAGCTCTTAACTCTGTTACTTTTATTAATAATAATAATAATAATAAATTAATAATAATAATAACCTCTGTTTTAACAGGTAAAACCTGGCCTCTTTTTAGCTAGTCCCTTGCTGCTTTTAGTTTTTTGCCAGCATTTCCTTTTTTCTCTCTAGCCATTTGTCACATTTAGCGAGCCATTTTGTCCCTTTTAACCACACCTTTTGTGCTCTAACTAGCCTTTTGCTACTGTTAGCCACTATTGTGTCACTTTTACGACAAATGATGGGAGACTGCAGCGAAGCCAAGATTCAACTTGTCTGCTGGATTCCTTAGATAGAGAACTTTACTAATTGGCTTTTATGTATGTGAATGTTCTTGTAAAGTTCCCTGAGACAACTTTGTTGTGATTTGGCTCTATATAAATAAACTGAATTGAACTGAAACAAACTGAATTTTAGCCACTTTGCTATTTATAGCTTTTAGCTAGCCATTTGCCAAATTTAGCTAGCCATTTGGGGGAGTGGTGGCGCAGAGGTTAGAGAGGTGGGCCTGTGATCCGAAGATCGCCGGTTCACGCCCCGGCCCCGACAACATCAAAATTGTGGGTGGGGTAGGTGAAACACCCACACTTGCCCCCACCCTCATTCACCCCACTCTGGGCCCATGAGCAAGGCCTTTAACCCCCACCATGTGCTCCCTAAACAGGTCTCTCTTGAAAATGAGTTCTCGTGGCTCAATGAGACTACCTGGATAAATAAAGGCTAAATAAAAAATTAAAAAAAAAAAATTGCCAAATTTAGCTAGCCATTTGCCACTTTTAACTGCCTCTTTGCTACCTTTAGCTAACTTTTTGCTTCTTTTAGGTTTTAGCTAAAGCTTTACTACTTTCAGCTTTTAGCTTCTTCTTTGCTCCTTTTATAATTTAGAAACCTTCTGCTAATTTTAGCCTTTAGCTACCCCTTTGGTACATGGAGCTTTAAGATATATTTTTGTTTTTACTATTTTAGAGAGCATTTTACAACTTTTGGTATTTAGCTTTTCTTTTGCTATTTTTAGCTTTTAGCTTGACTTTTTGCTGGTGTGCGTATATGAATGTTTCTGTTCAGTGCCCTGAGACGACTTCTGTTGTGACTTGGTGCTGTATAAATAAACTAAATTGAATTGAAATAGTGTTTTGTTTCATTAAGATGTGTCCAGTGGTTCATGAAATATTATGCTAGCAAACAAACACATGAACCTTTTCACAAAAACAGGTATAAAACATTATTGCCTGCCTTTTTCCAGTGGGCGATAATGATACTGCAGTACAGTATACAGTACCGTGTTACGCTCTGCTTTGAGAATTGTAAACATTTTGGATAAATTTTACTTTCGTAGATTAAACTGTAACAGATGTGGTTTGGCATCACAAACCTAACTTAGTTTTTATTTGCTGATGTTTTATTTGTTTACTAAAGGAATTAAGATTGTTTTGATTTTATTTTTAGCTAATCCCGGGGTGAACGTGGAGCTACGGCAGCGCCTGCCCTCACCTGCCCAGCAGGACCTCGGTGATTCCGACAGGTGGGTCCAAAACCCTACAATCTGCAGGTGCTGCTCAAAATAAACTGGAGTTAAAACATGCTGTTCAGGCACAGGAGAGCAGAAATATTTTTATTTATCTGGCCCGCTAGCTGAGTAGCTCGCATACAGAACTGTGGAAACAGTCTTCACCCACTTGCAAATGTGTTTTTGCTTTTTTGTTACATTAAAATGTTTCAGATCAACAAACAAATGTTAATATCAGACAAGATAACCTGAGTATAGACATTTTTTAATGATTTCTTTTATTAAGGGGATCCTATCCAAACCAACCTGGCCCTATGTGAAAACGCATTTACTCTCAGCGTTAAATCATGAATTATCTGTGAAATTTTATTTGGAAAGCTTTCAGTTTTATTAGACTGATTACTGCCAGACCTTTAGAATCAAGTAACAGCTTAAACAATCCAATATCCACAAATGGAGCTAACATGATAGAACAATGGCAGACCTTCCCACCCAAGATCTAACATGGAACAGTGGTGAACCTTCCCATTCATTCAACCTTTATTTATTATATTTACACAGATAGATTAGTGAGTGTTTACACCATGTTTCCAAGTGACTCATTTACAACCTGTTTAGACAGACAAAAGTAATAAAAGTGACACATGTATAGGATTTGGAGGCAAAAAAACTTCCTATCAAACTCACTCCTTGGCCGAGGAGAGAGAGCTTGAGATTGAAAAAAACACCCCGCACATAATCACATAGTGACGTAGACATTCCTCAGGGGAGGGGAGACAACAAGAGTGGTGATTGTGTCAAATACACTCCAGAGGTACTGTTAAGAGTTCTGATAAGAACAGAACAATCAGTCGGTTCCCCCAGTGAGATCCATAAAAACTCTTGCGCCGAGGTCGACCTGGAACAGTGAGAGAGAGAATCCGAGAGTCCTGAAAAGATGACACAATGTTTATTCAGCCGGATTCCTCTGATAGGTCCGCAGACTTCCTTAGTGGGAGGGGAGATGGGCAGAGCGTCAGATTTACAGGGCCTCCAGGCGAACTGAGATAAGGCCTGTCAAGGCCAGCTGGGGAGCCGAATTCAGATAGGCAACGTTTGTTTTGGGAACAGGCAGAACTTTACTGATTCATGTCTGCCTTGAGGCTTCGCTGGTCCTGACAAATCCCAAACGTCAAAATTAAGTGGACACACCTCTGGTCCGTGCCTGAGAGTATTCCCCGAGATCTGAACCGTTCTGCCAGCGAATCCTCAGGGCCGCAAGTGGCCTGCTATTCTCACAAATCGCATCCAATTTGCGGTTCACTTCACAAAGCAATTGAGTCTGGGTGCTCGAGGCACGGAGCGAACATTACATAAGGCAGGCAGCCTGACCAGGGCCAAGTTTGCTGCCGACGACTTCCTTGTTTGTTGATAAACCAGGAACCAGACGATTCCAAAAAGCAGGAAACATCTTATCATAAATCCAATCATATATGCGTCTGCAACATCCTCGATGGGCAGCAGAGATAGACACATCACCATCCAGACACCCCAGGAATCCATGACCTATCCAGCTGCGTGCGCGTCATCAGGGCAAGTCGACTCGCCGAGAAAATTTAATCTGTTGCATTGAGAGAACAGCTGACCAGGAGCTAACATGGAGCAGTGGGGAACCCCATGACTTCTGGAAAATACTTTATGGACTGACAGGCAGTTACTTATTCCACAAATGTAATTGAGTACTTTAAAAGCTGCATTGTGTATTTACTCAGATATATATATCTATTTTTGATGATCTGAACCATTTAAAGGTGACAGAAAAGAGAAAAACAGAAAAAAAATCTGTAATAGTTTTGCACAGCACTCTAATTGTTTCTCATGTGGTTTACAGAATCAGAACCGGTCTCAACTCTGAACACAGCAGCTGGATTCAAGGTAACCGTCCATCCATTATTTACATGATAGAATACCAATCACATATCCTATGTCATATCCATATTCAGCACATTTTTACTGCCCCATTGATTGCAACCTTACTGCCTCTCTGTCCTTCAAGAGTGTCCAATCTCCAGCTCTCCTTCTCCAGTCCTCCACCGGAGGTCTTTGTCTCCAGTGTCCCCTCCATCCAACAAGAGCCCTTTGACTCCACTATCCTGCAAGTTTCCACAAGTCTCAGGGGAGATGGAGGCGGACCTCCCCCCTAACAGAGAGCCTTCTCCATGGGCTGAAAGCTGCAGGGACTCCTCAGATGAAGGTGCAGCTTGTGGAGGTCAGAGTAGCCCTGCTCTGAGAAGACACCTGGTCTCTACTGTCCCCAGGTGAGATGATACGTAGGGTCAGGACTCATTCTTGGGTTGCTACTATTGATATTTCTTAATTATTTTATTATTATTATTATTATTATTGCTGCTAGACCACCGGTGCTATATAATAACTTTTAATCATGAATAGATTTGGATCTTCAGCCTGTTCAGAGCAAGAATTTATAAAGCTAAAGAAAACTAGCACCCTTTGACCAATACTTGCTTAACCCTAATTTAAACCTTATTCACATCTTTTCCATAAACCTGACCCACATTCTATCGTATTAGTATTAGTCTTTGGTCCACATAAGGACTACTGGTCCTGACAAGGGACCAGAACCAAGTACACACACTTCAAAGGTTCTTGTCAAAGATTTTATCCCGTTGGTCCCTCAGTGCTGTCAAGTCATCTTGTACTTGGAGCAGAAAATCAACCCCATTCATAATGTTTCCACCTCCGTGCAACTGGTTGGGTTGATGACAAAGAACTCTATTTTGGTCTCCTTTGACCACAAAACTTTCTCCCAAACCTTCTGAGTCCTTTAGATGTTCTCTGGCTAACTTCAGACCAGGCTGAACACAGGCCTTCTCAGCAGGCGGCCCCAGTCCACTGCAGAGTTGTGTGTTCCCAATGATCTTTTGAGGGACTGTTCGTTCCTTTAGATCACATACTGTACGTCAAACTCGAGGCCCGGGGGCCAAATGTGGCGTTGACATCTTATCTGGCCCCCAAGACGATATGTGAAACATAAAATACTTTTTTCACTTGAATTGTTTTCAGTAATATTTGATTATGATGTCAAAAGTGCAACAGAGAACGTCAAATGAGGCCAATCAAACTTTTGTTGAGGAACCTGCAACCAAGAAACGATGTTGTGTATCTAACTTGAGTTAATGTAGATTCTGAAACTGACCCTTAGTTTGCAAAAGATTTTAATGTTGGCCCCCATTTGTAAGTGAGTTTGACACCCCTGCTTTAGATCCGTCTATGTAGCTGATCTCTCACCTTCCTCATCATCATCCTCACCCTGTGAAGAGCTCCAGGCCAAGGATATAAATTATAATTAAATTTTTGTTTTATCTCCAAATAATGGCACCAACACATGTCACCTTCTCAACAAGCTTCTTGCTGATGGTCTTGGAGCCCATTCCAGCCTTGTGCAGATCTTCTATCCAATCCTTGATGACCTTTTGACCTCTGATTTTTCCCTTGGAGACGTTGGAATAAAAGGAACCAAATTAATATTATTTTTTTTTTTACTCAATGACGGTTAAATTAGTTTATATAACTTTTATGTGGTGTTTTTTTTCTTCTTCTGGATTTCTAGTTAATTTTCTGCCTTTCTGAAATTGTTAATTTCATTAAAATTGATTAAACCTAATAAATCAGTAGGAGATAAATATTTATTCCTGCTCCGTATCTACAGAGAGGGTCAAGGTTTCAGTGTGGACCAGCAGAACCACTGGGTTGATTCGGAAATGTTCAACATGAAGTTGGAAGAGAACCGGGCTTAACGTTCTTAAAATAAGCAACGAAGAACAAAAACGCTGATTATTACACAATTATAAACTAGTATTGGTAATATTGAAAGCTCCATAATGTTAAGTTCTCCGGTGATTTTTGAGAAAGATTAATGTGATATGTTTAGATCCTCGCCACAGAAAGGTTTATTAAAAAGTTTATTGCTTTTCACTGAAACCTCACTTTTTTTTTTTCTTTTGCAGTTTTTGTAATTCGTGTCGATACGTCTTTTCTTTTGAGCTGTTAAATTTAGATTTGATTTGGTTAGTTGGAGTGTTGGAGGGCGCGACAGAAATAGAAGGGTAGTAAAAGAAATTGCAGGTTGAAGGTGGGGAGGTTGATTAGATAAAGCTGCCATAATAAAGTCAGAAACAGTCAATTACAGAATTGTGTGTCGGTTTTATTTCAGCTCCTTATTTAACTGCTTTATTACGCTAAGAAGCAGCCTGACCTTTATGGTGATATGAGAGAATTACACGCCAACATCAGTGGGTGCTTATTAAACCTGCTGCTTCCAGCTCCGAGCTTCACGTCTGATAATGTGAGGCCACGGCCTCGCTTTCAAACACCTGACCTGACTACACACACACACACAGGTGAAACACACTCAAGTGATGGCATAAGAGAGTGACCAGCTCCAGATCTGGTTCGACTCGAATCGTTTTGGTCTTTTTTTTAAAATATTTGTTAATGGGGGGAAGCGTTTAAAATGCTATAATGTAATTGGTTATCTAGAGCGATTAACATGTTTAAATTGGTATTCTTGAACGAAAGGCAGGCGATCGTAGTTGATTGTTTTTTAGCAAAATATCTCGTGAACCACTGGATGGAATGTAATGACACTCAGGAAATAATCATTGAGCATACGTCTTCAACTGATTAACATTTAAAATTAACATTTAAAACCTCCCCAGGGATCCATCCTCGGCCCACTCATTTTTTCTATTTACTTAACAAACTGGGTCAGAACGTTTAAATGCAACAAAAAAAAATCAAATTTATGCCGACGATTCTGTAAATTTTATGCATTTGTCTTTTGACTATCTGCAGTCAGCTTTTGATATTGTGGAGTCACGCTTGTTTGAACTTAAACTTCTCCTGAACGCCACAAAACTTCAAGAGTACCACATGCATCACATTATACTCCCGTCAGCAAACTATTAAACGGCAATAACCTTGTATGAAATTTGACCTTGATTTGTGACCTTGCCTTAAATATTACGCAACACATCCTGTGGTGGCACAAACTCGTTAAGTTTTGTCAAATTATCTTGTCGGATCAAAAGTTATGGGCGGTAGTTTATAGACTGAGACTATACCATAATACATCCGCCTTTCGATGAGCATAAAATAAACATGATGCGATGCTGGGAAGACGTTATTCACTTGTAAAATTACACCTCTGCATGGGGCTCAAATAGATTTGGGTTTACTCTGCTGGACTTTGGTGACCTGCTGCACATGCATCCCTCTGGAACAATAAAGGTTAAACAAAGTCAAAATCAAGTCGGTTCAAGATGGCCGCCACAGCTTATCCACTTTACCAAACCCAAAGCTGGAAAGCTCGAAGAACTTTACAGACTAACAGATCACTTGACAGCTTTGTTTGAAACGTCTGTGGATTCACCCGTCAACGAGCTCCATGTGGTCGGGCCTCGGGTCCTGGAGCTCGGCCGGGCCCAGAAGAACCTCTGCTGGGCTACAAATACATTTAGTTTCCTGAGATCTTAAAAAACGTTGAGTTCTTGTTGTTGTTTTTTGGTCACAAGTTTTAAACAATAAGTGTCTTTATGTCAAACAACATTTCGGGTTGAACCTACGGACTTTACAGCTCCTCTAGTAATTGTAAGCTCTGAACACTTGTTTTATCTGTTAAGTGTTTCCACCACTGACTACAGACACGTTTTCTGTTCCACAGCCCCGATCAGAACCCGGCGTCAGCCCGACTGCAGCATTTTGATCCTGATAAAAACAGCCTGTTTTTACTGAAGGAGCTCGACGCTCTGAGAGCACTCAACAACAAAGTGAGCAGACCCACAAACCAGCACCACTGCTGGTTCAGCTTCTGATTTTTACATCATAAAACTGTTCTGGTCTTCAAATCAGATCTTGAACGAACAAAAACGCACAACAGATTCAAACGAGCTGTGATTTATTAAACAAAAAGTTAAAGCTGAGAGTGAAGAACTGATGAGCCAGCAGCTTCCAGAACCTCGTCCAGCACCAGAACCCTCAGTGGGTTTCTATTTCAGTCTCTCATGGTTCTGAAGGACTTTTGGACCACTCTTCTTTCCATCATTGGTTTCTGCTCAGTTCTCTGAAGGTCCACCACAGTGTTTCAGTCAAGTTGAGGTTCTGAACTCTGACTGGACCCATGCAGCACCTTGGTTCTGTTCTTTCTGACCCGTTCTGTTGTAGATCAGCTGCTGTGTTTGGGATCATGGTTCTGTTGGACCCAGTTCAGTCCAAGCTTCAGCTGTTGGACAGATGGTCTCATCTGACTCTAGAACCCTTTGGTCTACAGAGGAGTTCTTGTTCCACTCAAAGACTGACAGGAGCCCAAACCATCAGCCCTCCACCACCGTGCTGACAGCTGTGAGGAGCTGTTGGCTGCGGTGCATTCTGGGTAAATATCTGTCCTCTGCTCTGGTTTTGGTCCAGAAGTCTTGTGGGTCCTTCAGATGAAACTTTCCAAACCTAAGTCAAGCTGCCATGTTGTTTTTAGAGAGAAGAGGGCATGAACTTTGACCTTTGACCTGTTGACTAAGGCTTGTATAGTCTAAGGTGGCACTCATTGCACAGTCTGACCTTCAGGGTGAATATTCTGTAAAGGCTGTCAGCTGTCTTCAATGTTTTTCTCTGATGATGGACTCTAAATGATCTTTAAGATTGCCACATTGATGGACAGCAGCAGCTGCTTCTCTGAGGTCATTGCTGATGTCTTTCCGTCTTGGCATTGCTTCAGATGGAGGTGGTCCCACTAATGAGGATCACAAGCTCCTGGCTGATCCTGAACCTCTGAGATCCATTTTTTTCCACTCACAGCTTTAACTTTTTGTTTTAGTTTTAGTTATTACCACACGGGGGAATCTGTTGTTTTTTTTGCTAGCTGTTAGCTTTGTTAGCTTCAGCTGCTGCCGTGAAGCTACAGCCGCTGTCACAGCTTCACCTTCAGCTCTGTTCTGAATATTTGAAACTCGCCAATTAGATTTTTGTTAAAAAAAAAAACTCTACCATCTGGGAGTCAGTTTACTTCTCCAAAGGTAAAAACACCGGCTTGTTTTTTTTTTTCTTTAGCTCCAGGAGCAGCTGGTTCAGAAGGAGAAGGAGCTGCTGGAGAAGGAGGTGGACGACGAGCTGAAGGAGGAGGAGAGAAACGTCCGATGCTGGGAGAGATCTGCATGTGAGGAGGAGGGAGGGGAGACGGGGGAGGAGCTGGAAGTCAGTTCATGTACAACTCCTAATCGGTTCTGATCTAAATGCATTTTCTCTAACATTTAAGTGTTTTTCCTGACACACGTCAGTGAATTATTTATTTAAAAGATTCTTTAAAGGAATGCATATCGCCCGCCACCTTTCACACCAGAGTTTACACCAAGATCATTTATGTTGGGAAGTAACAGATTTGTAGCCGTTGGGGTCAAACCATCTCATGTAAAACTTCCAGGTTTTAGTGCTTGGATTATGAGTTGTGAGAGACTCTCAGCTACCACCACACCAAATTCCAGTACAACATCTGCAAAATTAACTAAATTATAGCCATCTTTGTGTTTTCTACGGTTAGTTGGCTGTAGAAGCCATCTTGAATTGGATTTGCTACAAAAGTTAATCAGTTGTAGAAGCACATCTAGTAGTTAACTCCTGGAAGTTTCATAAAAATCTGTCCATCGGTACATGAGATATTTTGCTAACAGACAAAGGTGACTTCAAATGAGTAATGGCGTAGTTTTAATCAAAGATTTTGCATCGTCTGTTAGTGCTCAGTCTGTGTGTTGAGCGTCATCCTCAGTTACTACCACACCAAGTTTTAGCTAAATATGTCTATAAAGTTTTCTTGGTTAAGTTGGCGGCGGCAGCCATCTTGAATCAGATTGGCTCCAGAAATTGCTCATTAAAACCTTACCGCTCCGTCAGCGGGAGATCAAAAGGAAGGAGAGTGGCGATGATTCAATAACCACCACCGTCGGTCTCAGATGAGCCACCATCATCTCCGAGTTATTACAGCTGGAACTCACGCCCCGTGCTGTAATAATGATCTCTGCTCTGATTGGTCGGCCGCTCTGAGGAGAAGCATATTGGATTCGCTCCAACTGACTCCTCATCTCCTTCTTCTTTGTCTCCTTTTCTCCTCAGCGGTGTTGGAGGAGGTGCTGGTGGCTCAGAAGGACAGAGACCGGGCTCTGATGTCACGACTCCTGCTGGCCAATGAGGAGAGAGACGAGGCTTTGCGACGCGCTCGCCGACTTCAGGAAGCAGCCGAGTACGACAGGTTGAACTGCTCCTCATCACTGACCTTCACCAACCTGACGATAAATCACATAAACTCAATGGACTGTGATCAGCAGTCAGTTCGAGCTGTTTAGACCAGGGGTGTCCAAAATGCGGCCCGAGGGCCGTTTGCGGCCCTTGGAGTGATTTTGTGCGTCCCACAACTGCAGTTTAAGATCATTTTGACCAGCAGGCTGAAGAGGTCGATGCAGACTGTCTGCAAATTCATTGCTAATCCTTTTTTGTATAATGTTTAGGTTTAACAGCAAACCAGATGAGAAACAATCTTCTCAAAAAGATCACTATTAAGCAAAATACAAACCTTTGGTTATGTAATCTTATTTTCACTTCATGGTACAAAGCATCACAAACCTTTACTGATTTCTACCAGAAAGGAGACTTTTGGATAATGATCCATAAAACTTAGCTAAATGTTGGAGTTGATCAAATAATCAAGAGGGAAACTGGACATTTTTAAATGAATATAACGTGGCATCATCTACATACGAGTTGATCAACTTTATCAAAACGTTTTATGAATCTGTTGTACCGACTGACAGCTGGACGATTTTTCAGAACTTCCATCAGCCTTTGGGCCGTTCATGGCCCTGCGGAGTACGTGGGAGTATACTGGGGCTTTACTCAAATTACGCTTTTGTTGCTGAGAACAGACTAAAATCAACTTTCCAAACACAAGAAAACAACAAATATAGATCAAACAAATCAAAAAAATTTAATTAAAATAAAAAGGTTACAACTAGGGATGCACAATATTTGATTTTTGGCTGATATGTTAAAACTTATTAGGCCGATACCGATATTTTATATTCTGTCCTTTGTCTGAACATATCCCTCTTATTTAGGCTCATTTGCTACAAAAATTGTGTAACAGCTGTAAGAGCTAGTGACATATTCAGTAACAGCCATATGCATAGCACTTTAACTTGTATTAAACGAAAAGTGTTAAATATTATTTATTAGCATCACCTGCGATGCAGTCTCACTTGTGGAGGCTTCGTCTTCACGTTGTGCTGCCGCTGCAGACATCTTGTCACTGGGTTGTCTTACAAAAACAGCACCTTTTATATCGGTGACTTATTTTGATGGAATGGCCGATGTCCGGTATTGAACTTTAATGCTAATATATACCGATGCCATGCCGTTAATATCCTGCATCCCTAGTTAAAACAATTTAAAACTCTTTCTCCACCAAAATTAGTAAGCTTTTGTCCTTTCTCCAAAATATTGCTCTTGTTGTTGAGAGTTAAATTCACATTTTTGTGGCCCACGAGTCTTTTCATATGGATAGTTTTTGCCCACATATGAAAACGTTTGGACACCACCGATTTAGGCCAAACTAAGAAAAAACCTTCACAATCTCCAGGGATGCTTTGCGTGATTTGTTAGTGCTTTAATTGTATGTTGTGGATGACTCTCTGCTACTACTACACCAAATCTCAGCTCAGTTTCTGTAAAACTGGTTGACTTGTTGTCGCCGTTTTTGTTGTCTGCTAAGGTTCAGTAGCTGTGGAGACTACCAGTACTTTGAAATAGAGTGGCTCCAAAACCTTATCAGTTCTACATGTATATACTTGAGACTAGTTTCTGATAGTTTCATTCAGATCTGTCCAGTGGTTTGAGATATTTTGCTAACAGATGGACAATCATCTCAGCTTCAAGGTTAGGGTCACAAATCAAGGTCATAAATTATTCAAAGTATTTCCTTGTCCGGACCATAACTCTGATCCACTCAAGATGATATAATAGAACTTAATACACATTTGCATCATCACTAGGCCGAGTGTCACATAATCCTTTCATCACCTCAACTCAGAGGTCAAGGTCACAAATCAAGGTCAACATTAAAACAAGGTCTTTGTTTGTCTGTGCCATTGCTGTGTAATAGTTGATGGGCAGATAATGTGCCATGTGCTGTACTCTAGTTTCAGTGTATTATCAATCACCTTTTATGGGGGTGGGCAATAATGTTTTTGTCTGTATTTGGGTGTTTGTGTGTCTGTTAGCAAAATATCTTATGAACCACTGGATGGATTTAATCAAAACTCCCAGAGAGTAAATACTGGATAAACAAACTTTTCGAGTCGGCTTGATTCAGAGTGCCTTAGCACACACAAAAACGATCACAGCTCAGTTGATTTTTGTGACGCGGAGCTGAAACTTGGCGTGGTAGTAGCTGAGAGTCCTCCCCAACACACACTCTGAGCGCTAACAGATGGCACAGCTTTAGCTGAAAACCTCGTCGTGCATGTCGCTAGTTGATATGCATTCCTTGTGTTTTAACTTGTGTGAAGTATTTCTGCGAAGGAGAATTCCGTCCATCCTCTACGCTGCGCCTCCTCTCCTTCATTATGCACCTCCTCAGTCTCGTTAAAAGGCTGTGAAATGAGTTCTGGTCCTCCTCGAGCAGCAGCCAAATAGAGCAGAAAATCTAATTAGGGATAATACCCCTCTTCCTCCTCCTCCTCCTCCCTGATCCCCCCCCCCACCCCTCCAGGAGGAGAGGGTAATTGATATTGGAGGCCGCAATCCTTTTTATAAGGACAGAATATGGAGGAGCATGTTCCATCTGTCAGGACTCAGGGTGTGTGTCTGCCGTCATGTGTGTGTTTTTCTGATGCAGGAGGCAGTGTGTGTGACTGCGTTGTCTGTGTGTATTAATGCATGTTTTCTGAGTGTGTGTATTTCTAATAGAGGAGGCGACCCCGGTAAACGTGTGTGTCTTTGAGTGTTCGATGTGTGTTTATGAATAATGTGGCTCTGAAGCTGTCAGTGTTTGTTTTGTTTTTTTTGTTGTTTGTTTTTTGTTTTGCTTTTTACATCCAGTCGGTTCGCCGAAGGTTCTGGACTTCGGCTCGGTTCACCTCTTTTCACGATTTACAAACGGAATCAAAGAAATTACATTTTCTGCGAACATACTTAACGACTGCTGAAATTTAATGGAGCTGATGTGTCATTAAAGAAGCAAAACACTAGATAAAAAACAAACTAATCTAAGAAGCTAGTCACAAGTAGCAAAATGCTAACTAAATCACAAAACTACACTCAAAATAAGCAAATATCTAGGTTAAAAACTAAATGACAAAATGCAAACATCTAGCTAAACCTAGCAAAGTGCTAGCTAAAAAGGTAAAACCATAAAGACATTTGCTACAAACTAAAGTTAGCAAAACTGTAACTAAACATAACACATTTGACATTGAAGGTAAAAGTCCCAAAAGGTTTTCTTAATGGTAAAATAACCTAAACAATTGATGTAAGCTAAAATTATTTAAAATTTAGCTTTA